GTGGTGCTGAGAAATAGAACCCAGGGCCTCATGCATGCAAGACAAGTGCTCTACCACTGAGCCACCTTCCCAGCCATCAAGGGCTTTTTGTAAAGAGTGCAGAAGTTGTAAACCAATAAGAATCCTCACCTATGGACAGCATTTGTATTTTCTTTTCAGATGGATACACTACTTTCTTATGTCAACTAACTGAGTATACTACTTTTTTTTTTTGTAGTGGTGGTACTAAAGTTTTTTTTTTGAAATCAGGGCTTTTTTTTGGGGGGGTGGCGATCATGAGGCCTGAATTCTGGGCCTGGCGCTGTCCCCCAGCTCTTCAGCTCAAGGCTAGCACTCTACCACTTGAGCCACAGCACCTTCCAGCTTTTTCTGCTTATGTGGTGCTGAGGAATTGAACCCAGGGCTTCCCTCATGCATGCAAGGCAAGCACTCTACCACTGCACCACCTTCCCAGCCTCAAATCAGGGCTTTTTAAAGTGAATTCAGGCCTTTCAACTAGGAACCTGTTTGAGCTGGACAGTTCATGAAATTCTGAGAAAATGAAGCAAAGAGTGAGAGTTAGGATGTGGCAATTACATAAAATCTGGAAGGAAGTGCTCCAGGAATATGTTAGGGGTATGACATGAAAGCCACTTAATTAAACTATAAAATTATTACAATGAGCAGCTAGCAATTACAATCCTCCATGCATAACTAGCCATTGGAGCGACTATGGATGGAATAGAGGACAGGTGGGTAAGAGACAGTGGGCAACTTTGCTTTGCCCTCCAACATGGACACTGGCCAGGCCCATCCTCAAGGGGTGCCCTGTGACATGCAGCAGGGTGCTATTGATATTACCTGTCTGGAAGGTGAGGGTCTGGGAGAAGTGGAGAGGGGAAGAGGAAGTTTTCATTTTGGAAAATCAAAGAAGCCACTGCCTGATTTAATTTTTTTAAGTTCTGTTTAGCTTTTTGCTTTAAATAAAGTCTGTCAACAGGAGTGCTAGGTGACAGGCTCAGCAAAGCCAAAAAACTGGTTTCAAGAAGTGATAAGGAGGTGGACAGCAGGTAAAGGAGCAGTTCTCTGGAAGGAATGCTGCCCAAGATGGACTTGCTGCTCCTACCTACTTGACATTGCTATTTTTGTAATGTCAGCGGCTACTAGTCAGAGGAGTCAGCCATAAGAGGAAATGAGAGACAGGGCTCCATGCTTAAGTGAGTGGTCTTTTTTTGCCTCTAGGTATGAGGGACAAACCTCAGGACAGCAATTCTGTAGATGAGGAAGGTTAAGTACCTCCTCTGACACTGAGGGAGATTTTTTTCTGAACTTCAGAGAAAGAAATCTGGCCATCCTTGAACAACTTCAGTGAGGTGGTGTGAGAATTCTGTTATTAGGATATTAATCTATTATGAACTACCAGACTTGGTAGAAATTTGCATTCTGGCATTTTTTATCCTTTGCTACGAGATTCTGTTCCTATTCTATGTTCTTGGAACTCCTGGGTCTTTCTGAAGGAAAGATCAGTATCTCAGCTTCACGCTGGGTGTGGTGACACACCTCTGCACGTCTAGCTACTCCAGAGGCTCAGATTGGGAGGTGCAAGGCCAGCCTGGACAAAGAATTAGCAAGGACATCCCCCCCTTAATTAAAAAAAAAAAAGCAAGCATGGTGTAGCACCTGTATCATTCCAGCTGTGATAAAAACATAAACACAGGATGGTGCTGGTGGCTCATGCCTGTAATCCTAGCTACTCAGGAGATTGAGATCTGAGGATTGCAGTTAAAAGCTGGGTGGCTCACACCTGCAATCCTAATTATTCAGGAGGATGAAATCTGAAGAGTTCAGGTCAAAGCCAGCCTGGGCAGGAAAGTCCATGAGATTCTTATTTCCAATTAACCACCAGAAATTGGAAGTGGCACTGTGGCATAATGGCTCAAAGTG